GTTCGTGGTCTGACTTTCGGCAATGTGGTCTTGTGCATGAGATCATATGTTCAAGCAAGATTAGAAATTAAGCAACGAGGCTTGCTTTAGGAGCTCACAGGAATACACCAAATCAGGGAGTATACAAGGTGATATGGGATAGACATTATTCGAGGGCAGGGAAGCTAGCAGCAAGATAACGTTTGAGAAGTGATTGAGAGAAATGGGGGAGGAATGGCGGGCTAGGAAGGTTTTCATCAACTTGTACACGAGAAATGTTGATGCAAAATGGAGGAATCGAACCAGAAAATTGACTCAGAAAAGAACAGGGGGCCAAACCAAAAAGAACTACCGGTTAAGAAGAAAGTGAAGGAAACGAAGACTGACATGTGGAGAATTGGCATGATCAAGAAGTCCGCACTAGAGATCTATCAAACTTTTAAGCAGGAAATTGCCAAAGAAAGGATCTATGATAATAGTCGGGGTAGTTCTCTGCTGTTTGAGGCCAGGACGGGAGTATTGTGAACCAAGATATATCGGGCAAAATACAAAGAGGTAGACACAGTATGCAATGCGTGTGGAGAGGAAGAAGAAACTACCGAACACTTGATAATGTTCTGTAATGGGCTTCACCCTATAGTTCAGGATGATGGCGCAGAGTTTTTCAAAGTACTGGGGTTTAGGGACAGGGAGGGCGAATTAGACTTTAAACGGGTAGAATTAACTAGAAGGTGGTTATCCGATCGGTAGCTAAAATCAAGGCTCGTGTGAAAATAAATTCTTTCTTGTAAAGTGCCAGTACTCAACTTCAGTTTTATAGGGGGGAAAAAGATACATCTAGTTTTTGGTTCACTAAGTATTATGCGTTCAAGTTTCATCGCATTCGCGTTTTATTTTCTCTTTCAAGTTATTGCAACATCATTATTTGCTTATCTCAGTATATAATACTGCTGTGTAACCCCCTGCATATCTGACGGAAAAAATCACATTGTCTTTTTTTAATTTCTCATTAGTTACAAAAAAAATCGCCGGTCTCCTTACGAATTCACCTGAGACAACTGAAAGGCAATAGCTATCCTAGTTTTCTTCCGATTCAATGCACTGAATGTTTCCTACTTCCTTCCGGGATATTTCCACGCCCAACGTGGTTTTCTTACTGCCTCAAGGATTGGAGACAAAGCTAGCTTTCTGCCCCTCAGCTGGTTATGCACTGCCCTTATGATCGGCCTATTTCAACCAAGTGAAGATGTTATATGATGCCGTCAAGTTATGTGACCTGCTGATACGTCACAAAACACTTATGATATGTGACGTCATATGATAATGTTTTCACGTAATGATGATTTCTTGCATCACTCGTGCTCACGCCGCCGACGCGAGAAGACGCCGGATGCCACCGGCGATCAATTTTCGCTTTTTATGGGGCGATTAAAGCTATCGCCTTGATGTATTGTACTGCTGTAGCTCCGTGAAATTGCAGCTTACGCTGGGGTTCGGGGAGCGTGCTTGCAGTAATCAAGCAGAACAACTGGTCTCTTAATAACTCTTCGTACTACACTCTAATATGTAGCCATCATTTACAACCCGAGTATATTATAGATTATAAGTAGTGGTGGCTGAAGGCTACCCGTCACGTTTGGCAACATGGCAGTCGGTATCACTAAACGGGAGTGCACTGCATCCGAACAGTCAGCAAATTAGTCTATCAGTAACAATGTTACCTCGCCATCACTGCCGTGTGCAATGCTAACACTACGCCCCGAAGCTGAATGGGAGCCCATGGGCACCACACAGGCAGTCAGCTCTATTCTGCTCGCTACCGAATTAGGAGGCCGAAGGGAAGAAGAAAGAAACAGAGCTCAGAAGCCGAATATTAAGGCTACAACAATCCGTCCACGAATACACAGACAAGCTCAAGCAACTGACCCCAGGCAAGTCAGAAGCACCGGCGTAGCTCAATGGTGGAATACTTGGCTGGCGCCCAGCGGACCTAGATTCAAGCCGCACTGTGTTATTAGTGCTAGTTTTATTTTTTTTTTCTAATTTCGCGCGATGTGGTTACGGACATCGGCGGCGGTGGACAACTGCGCGTGACCAGAGTTGTGATATCATAACAGCTTTCTCTGTAAAAGGCAACTCTCAGTCAAGCAAACACCACGGTGACAAAACGATCTTCCACGGATAACTGGCTTGAACTACCTGGTATCGGCCTAGCAGACGACGCGCGAGTGCCTCGATCATGTAGTCGCGAACGACTCATGCCTTGAAATGAGCTCGGTGTCCAGAACAGCAAGTGTTTCACGATTCTCGTTTCCAAGTTTCCATTACACCTTAAACAATGCGAATAGAGCCTAAAACCGAGCCGTATAGTCGAATGCAGCCGCGGCAATCGCTTGCGCGAGAGACGACGCGGCAGCATTTCTACTCTAGTTGCGGCGCCTGGCGGCAAAGCGCCGCACTAGCACCAACGGCCACTTTTTGTTGAAATCCGCTCCTTCGCCCGGGCACTGAAAAAGTAGAGGAGGCGCTGGTCAAACACAACTGGCATCCTCGTAGGCGGCACCGGTGGCGTTTTTTGTGCACTCGTGCCGTACGTTCGTCCAGGCAGCACGCGTGTCGTGCCGCATGTTCGGCTGGGCCGGCCACGACACGAGTGCTCGCCACGGCGGCACTGCGGTGGTCGACAGCATAGAGTTTCCCACGAAACTTTATGGTCGACAGAGGATCGTGGTGCAATCCCATCAGCCCGCGCGCGCTGGCAGACGACGCGTTGACGCTCCATCATTGCAGGCGTAATTTACAGCTGGCGCTGTCACCATTGCCGCAGAACACGGCTGTACTGCACGGGAAACGTGCGTGAGCTTACATCATCCGACCGTACTCGCAAAAGTCTACTTTTGCTGCCAGTATTCCTCTGGACAACGAAGGCGATGCGAAAATTACCCGAACCCTCATCCATTTGGTACAGAATCGATGCAGCCATAGCCTCCTAGATGTCCCTTGCCTGCCGGATTATTGGCGGTCAGATCAGTTAGAAAGTGGCCGTCATCGGAACTATAGTAGTAGCGCCACCTAAGTAGGAATGTTTTCAAGTAGGTTTTTATGTTTTTGGAACTTATATGCAACAAAAATAACGTAAAAAATTTAAAAAGCGCAAACATAATTATAATTAACCCTACGTAAGTGAAGCCGTTATTCAACAGACAACTTCTTCAAAACAAGGCATAGCCTTTAAAATTAGCAGCAAACGCCAAAATTGCCAATCTCGAAGGCCAAGTACAAAGACCTTTTTCTCTACGTAGGCAGCGCCGCCAAAGATGACCAGCGTTTCGCGCTCATCTGGCAGGAAAGAAAAATATAGGAGGCTATAAGGCAGCACAACCACCTGGAGAACAGATGCGCACCCACTGGACACGTAGTGTCTCGCAAGTGTCTCTCATTGTCTGATTTTCTGTTGTTTGCTTTCTTATTACCAGTACAAACAGGACGCTGGAAATTGTCGTCTGCTAAATGACGTCTCTCGCATACAGCGCTGCTGTAGCGGAATTGTGTTTTATGGTTCACACGTTCGCTGGCCCGTAGCGAGGCGTGAAACTCGGGCGGTGTTTGACGTAACTTCTTTTCCTCAGTCACAAGTCACGGTACCAGTGCACCTCGCCGAACATGCCATACTTCTCTACGCTGTTAGGAGCACTCAACAAATTTGTCTGGTCCAGTTATTTAACTTGAACCGCCAGGCGAATCAATTACGATGCGTTTTCCAAGCGGGCAGAATAGAAAAAGGATCGCCTATTTACTGGTGAGAATAAGGTGTCATAGAAAGCAGAAAAAAAATACGCGCACTGATTACCCGGAGACACGGAAGAAGGAAAAAGGTTCCTTCCTCCGTGCCCCGAGAGCGCACATTGGCGGCGGCGCGCCGGTCAATTGGCAACAATAACGCAAAAAAGAAAAAATAGCGGCGGCGCGCCGACCTGTTGGTGCTCACCTCAAAGACTTGTGCGCCAGATGCATTTTGCTAGCTATGACAGCGTATCTGCTACGATTGCCTGCGGTTGCCGTTTTGTTCGTTCTTATCTACGCTCTACCGCATCCATGCGCTGTGTTTTGTATTGTAGTAAGGTCATATTATAACACGTATTTTTCTCTTTTTTATGTTTGTAATATGAAGGCCATAAAGCAGTTTCAAAACACATATTCAACCTCAAACGTAAAAACACGGCCTTTGAGATTCGCACTTGTAGCGTGGCATTATTATTTGATTATTATTTTGGAACACTGAAATGTTATATGAAGCAGTGGAGGCCGAAATTTTGATATCGTTGCCATGTGCGAGCAAAAATACTGAAGCGACGAGTAGAAAGTGATTTTACAATCCTTTAGCGGAGATCGGCGTTATCTGGCGGCGCTGCAGCCGCTGCTCATCATCGTCACCATGACCTACTACACTCCTGACCTGTTCAGATAGCGGGGTTCCTATGGGAGCGCGTGTCCCCGCTCTCGTTCAATCGCTCGCCGTAGGTGGCGCTACCTATAACCTGTTCGTCTGCTACTTTACGGCTGTTTGGACGGCGCTAGAGTAAGAACGGCTGCATTCCGTGATGAACAGCCGGCATATATGTGACTATTTTTTCACTTAGATGACTGGTCAAGTAAGCTGTTCAGTGTGACGAAAAATTTATTGCACACTGGTGGACAAATGCGAGAATCCGTAGACTTACATAGTGTAGGACAGCATATGTGATGTTGCGTCCATTTAATTGCAAAGAATTTGTGAATGACTTTTGAAATATTTGTTTCAAAATTATTTTTCATTAGTGCATAATAATTACGCAATATGAGTGCTCTGTTGGCCGAAATATGACCACGAACACTCAAGCTGACGTCAGCGAACAGGTGCTGACTAGCGCCACAGTGCTCCTAAGTTACGGCCCTAGCGGCAGAAGGTATGAACTAGAACGTGGGCGCTGGAAGAGGTGCTCTCTGGGCAGGTCAGGAGTGTAGTAGGTCATGATCGTCACCATCATCAGCCACTGGCCACTTTGCCTGTGCATTACCGGGTTCACCTCAACCACCTTGAAACGTTCTGCGCCGCCCCGTAACTGGTAGGTGTCTGTGGCCCCGTGCTCTGCGTATTTGTTGTCGACTGCGTGAACGCAAGGACTGAAGATGAACGGCGCGCTACGAAAGGCCACCAGCGTTTTTCGAAGCGCTGTAATGCAGACCCGTTCAACGTCGGTGAATTCGTACTCGGTCTCGCTGCCGAAAGGCTTCAAGATGTCGGCCCCCGAAAAGGTGGTTCACATCGCTGTGATCGTATCCACAATTTTCGCTTACCCAGTTTGGGTCCTTACTCACCTCAGGGAGTACAGAGGAATCAAGGATTAACGTAAGTAGTTGTCACGCATGTGTTAATTGACCAGTACCTTGAAGCTGATGTGAAATGAGAGGGTTACTGGTCTTTTTGGATTGGGATTTATATATCGTCCTCGTTAGACCGATTACTGGCGTTCAGATGAGCTATTGTCCTTTTATGCAAATCTAGAATGCGTTCTAGATTCGCAAGGAAGGCACAGGTGTAACTGAACAGTACAACCAAGTGGGTGGGTGCTTAACATGCAGAGCGTGTAGTGCCGAAGATTGGATCGACAGCTATGTCTCAGTACTTTTTCGACTGTATCTACGCATGCAGAAGAGCGGTAAAGGTGAAGTATTCGTTCAGTTCCCTTTCAAACGTCCGTTTGCAATGTTGCTGCGTTAATGCTGGGTGAGCACAACGCTATTCGATACTTTTTCATGTGTGCCGTCCGCGAAGTTATGAGAACGCGAGTCGATACTTCTCCATATATGCCGTACGCGAAGTTTGCTCGAGGCTGTCGCATTGGCAGAAGTTTTCTCATTGAAACGTCATTTGTCTTTACAGATGTAGTTCCGAAGACTTGCACCATGCTGGCGTCCACGGGAAACCTGTGCACAAGTCACCACACGAACCATTAGCTAACAGAATACAATAAAATGTGTTCGAATACACATGCACCAATTATATTTGTGTTCTTCATGACTGCAAAGGCTGTAGTTCAGAAACAGTTCGATGATTGCACAATAAATCCAACAGATCATCGAAGTCCGAGCTTTCCGATTCATGAGGTGATAATGACAAGGACGTTTGTCTTCCTTGTGACTGCTGAGAGTTGGAGAGATTGCTAGATGATTGCGAACTCTCAGTGGCGGAGTCGTATGTATCTTGGTCATCTGGCGATGACACTGCAAAACGACAGTTGTAGTTGATAAGCCATCGAAATGCGGATTTTCGCTTTCGGCATTGGTCGGCGAACGAGCTTCACATTCGTGGTATTTTCAGCAATATTATACATGCGTTTCACGAGAGCGCACATGAAAGATTATGAGTCGCTCGTGCACAGCGCTCTTGTACAACGAGTCCAAAAATTTGGGTCTCGGCACCGAACCGCAACGTTCTTGATTGCGATAACAGTCACTTCGATGGCCTTTTCGACACCTTGCCGTGCCATATTTGTCTGCTCATTACGTCCCGCCTTCACGTAGCTGTAGGCGACGACCATGTCTTAAAGCAAGAATGATGCCTTAAAGCAAGATGATGTCTTTAAGCAAGAATTCTTCATTCAGCTGCTTCAATCCTCTGAACGATTGCACCACAGAACACCTAATTGCACGTTGCCGGTCAACGAAACTCCTACAAACACTGCCATAGCAGCCATAGAGTTTCCTTATATTTAGCAAACTATGTACAACAGTGTATGTACAACAGTGTATGTAGCAACAGTGTAGAAAAAAAACTTCACACCTGTAAATAACTAAAACACTTAAGTTGTGTAAAATAATTGAACTTAATTACAAGTAATACGAAAGCAAACAACTGAGAGGCCCTGACTTCACTCGTGGTAAATCGAGAAGTCGGCCATATTGACTGGGCAAGTTCTCTCTTGTTTATACCCAAATGCAAAGCAGGAGGCGCGACTCTCTCTCTGACGCGAAAACCACGTGCACTGCACAGCTTGCGCGTCATGGCGAACCGAAACCATCGGAACAGGGCTCAACACGCTGGGACAGTGCCACACCGTTGACAAAATCATTTCGTCCGAGTATTAACAGCGAGTAACAGCTCACCGACAACGAAGCAAGCACAAGAGAACGCGCGCTAGATGTACTGACAAGCATGTTAATTTTGAGAAACTCTATGTTGGCAACGGCGAGTGTGTTTCACGGCATAATTCACTCACCCTCTAAGACAACACAATCGGCCGTTCGCCGCCTTCTAGGGTTGCATTCCGTCTGTCGCGCGGCCAACGCGGCGCATAGTCACCGTGCCCGTGTTCAACGTAAAACTCACCGGCGTCAGCATGTGCAAGCGCGGCGACTTTAGAGACACTTGAACGCGATTGCTCCAACGCCGAGAGAACAATGCTGGGGTACAGTAAGCGAAACAGAAAATGCGTTTTAATACGCACGTGAAAGTTGTTACTGTTACATGGAACACGAAACTACTACGTATGTGCACATGGTCCTCATTGAGTCTTGCTGGCCAAAAGTTGCGTCCATTGTCACAAGCACGAACACTGCGCAACCATCACTGACCCGCGCGGCGTTCGTCGTGGTTCAGTTTTATCATGGTGCCAAAACGCAATTTCGAGGAACACTTCAAATACTTCATCCGCGTCATCCACCGCACGGCACATGGATATGTGCTCGTTCTACGCACTTCTAAGGCCCCATGGCTAACAAAAGGTTTTGTAAACCTTGCTAGGAGCGCAATAACTGCCGGGAGAACACAGCGCAACTAACAATGCAGCAGAAAGTACGTTGCCCGCCACGGTTCAGTACGAGACCTACGGAGGCGCACATCTCGCCGCTAGCCCCCGCCACTGACTGCTAGATGAGCTACACTGCACAACGATCACGGAGGACAACGATGAATGGGTGGGTGGATAGATGAATGAGTGTGGCTATACCCTTTAAATCGGGCGGTGGCTAACGCCACCTAGCCGTAATACTTAGTGAAGTAACTATTAGATTTATCTTTTTTTTTTTCATTTAAATAGTGAGGTTGAGGATTCGTACTTTGCAGTGAAGGGTTTAATTTTCACTCGTGCCTTGACTTTAGCCACCAATCAGATAACCTCCCTCTATTTAAGTATACCTGCTTAACGTCTATTTTGTCCTCCCTGTCCCTAAACCCCAGTGCTTTGAAAAAATCTGCGCCAGCATCCTGAACTATAGGGCGAAGCCCTTTACAGAACATTATCAAGTGTTCGGCAGTTTCTTCTTCCTCTCCACATGCACTGCATACTGTGTCTACCCCTTCGTATTTGGCCCGATATGTCTTGGTTCGCAATACTCCCGTCCTGACCTCAAACAGTAGAGAACTACCCCGAGTATTATCATAGATCCTTTCTTTGGCAATTTCCTGCTTAAAAGTTTGATAGATCTCTAGTGCGGACTTCTTAATCATGCCAATTCTCCACATGTCAGTCTCCGTTTCCTTCACTTTCTTCTTAACCGATAGTTCTTTTTGGTTTGGCCACCTGCTGTTTTCCAAGTATTTACCAGTCAATTTTCTGGTTCGCTTCCTCCATTTTGTATCGACATTTTTCATGTACAAGTAGCCGAAAACCTTCATAGCCCAACGCTCCTCCCCCCTTTCTCTCAATCGCTTCTCAAATTTTATCTTGCTGCCAGCTTCCCTGCCCTCAAATGATGTCCATCCCATATCACCTTGTACTCCCTGATTTGGTGTATTCCCGTGAGCTCCTAAAGCAAGCCTACCTATTCCACGTTCCTTAATTTCTAATCTTGCTTGAACTTCTGATCTCATGCACAAGACTGCATTACCGAACGTCCACCCAGGAACCATGACTCCTTTCCATATTCCTCTCACAACGTCATACCTATTGTAATTCCACAGTGCCCTATTTTTCATCACTGCTGAATTCCTGTTACCTTTAGTCGTCACGTATATTTCGCATTCCCTTAGGTACTCGGTCCCATTGCTTATCCATACACCCAGATATTTGTATTTATCTGTTATCTCTAGCGTGACCTCCTGTATTCTAAGCTCACTACCTTCGTTATCATTAAACATCATGACTGCTGATTTTTCCTAACTGAATCTAAAATCTAACCTATCTCCCTCATTACCGCAGATGTCCATCAATCTCTGCAAATCTTTCTTGTTGTCGGCCATTAGCACTATAACACGTAACCATAACAACGCCGCCACTGTGCCCAGTAAATATGGCCGTCATGACGTCATTTTTTTTTACATTTTCCACGTAGTGCGCCGGCTTGGCTTGTTATTCCTTCCTTCATGTACTCAATGGCGTATTAAAAGAAAAACCCAACTTTACGTAAGAAACTTTTTTCTTTCTTTTTTATGTTTTCTCCTCTTTTTCTTTCTTCCGTGTATGAGCCTAATCACGTATTTACTGCTTACGTACATCAAATAGTTGAAATTTCTTACATAATTATAATACTAAAAATTAAAAAGGTAAATACAGGCCGCGGTAATATTTGTCTACAGATACTTATTTATTCGAAGCAGTGTGCGGGATCAGAAAACATGGCTGGTATCATGGCGGCATTCATGAAGTGCGTGCATGTGTTACAGTAGGCGCTTTCTTGCCTTCTAAATCCCCATGCGCTGGCTTTCCGCCGACGAACTTTTGAAACGTAACGAAAAAAAAAATAACTCGTGTCAAGTTGTACTCATAGCTGAAACTAGAAACAGGAACGTTCGTGACAATGCCTCATATACTCATAAGTGAAGCAGAGAAAATCTACATTATCCATGGGATACAAGTACGTTTTATTTCTAGTAATGCAATTTGGCGAGCATGAACATGTACTATTGCTGCTGCACGAAAGCGTAACTTACTGCGTTGAGTCTATCGTCAGAAATGGTCCTCCTGGCTTGCAGGAAAACTTACGCTGCGACGGTCGCAGTTGTCTGGAGTATCGATTCCTGGAACTAGAAACCGGCCTAGTGTCCAACTGCAGTGGATCTTCACATGTCAGACTGGTTCGTACTGCGCTGAAACAACGGGTGGATGCCCGCGTTGTTGCATTTATATACCATTTTTCTACGTTGACCAACTGTAACTTGCAGGATACTTTGCATTTTTAGCAACCGCTAACATTCTGACTTTGCAGGCAAACACTGACATCTTAGTAGGAATCAAGGCAGAACTTGATGCACCTGATCCCTCTGCTCCACATCAAGGCCGCATTGAGTTCTTTGTGGATTGGTAAGTGAAAAAAAAAGAGGGGTGTGCGGGGGGAAAAGCCAATTTGGTGTTGCATAACGTGGAGCCGGCCTAAAATTACTAAGAACTGCAGTGACTGTTGTATAGACTTAAAAATACGTTAACATTACCGAGGACATCGTCACTTCAAGTAATCCACTGGTTCACAGAGCCATTCACCTAGGGTTAAAAAATGAAAATGAGGGCCTTAGAAAACAACACCTGGAGAGTTTCAGTGAGGGTTCAAATGGGCAAGATATATATATAATATATATATATATTATACTTGAGATGCATACGCTCAACAAAATCTTGTGAAAGTGGGACATTTTCTGCATCTCTCAAACTGTCACATCTACTGGCGCAATCATCGTCCCTTAGTTTGTGAGTCACCTCTGAAACCATCTGAAGAAGTTCTGCATGCTCTCACATTTTTTTTTCTTTTGAATGGGAAGTTAATGCACCGCCAAACTGTACATAACGTGTACTTCCTTACATCTGTGCCTAGCATCGCTCATCTCTGAATTAAAATTAACGTGCAAACACAGAACAACCCCCACAGAAAATAAACAACACACACAGAGTTTCTTTTCTCTGTGGGGTGTGTTCTGTGCGTGCACTGCTAATTTTAACCCAGAGATATGTACCAAGTTGGCCCAAAAAGTTTTCGCAGTGGCTATTCTATGGACTAGACCACAGAATAGCCACTGTAGACGGTTTCATAAGGGATAAAATTGTGGTGGTTTATTCCATAGCTAGAGTATAT